GGAGGAAGTTGCTGTGCCAGACGGTGGAGGTGTCAGCACTGGCTTGCATCGATCGCTCGATCACCAGCACCTCTGCCCTGGCTGAGCCCACTGCCTGCTGCTGGAAGCCCACGGCACGCTGCGGGAGCATGGGCAGGGGTCACCCCCATCCCCAGGTGCCATCCCCATGCCCCTCCATGCTCTCATCCGCTCCCTGTTTACCTCCACCTCCCACATTACTCCCTGGCACCCCCAACCTGACCCAGGTCATGCGAGCTCCCCTGTCCAGCTGCTCACGTAGCTGGAGATGCAGAGTTGGCCCTCGGTGTTGAAGGCTGGGAAGATGAGGTCGGGGGGCACTGCCTGCAGGTGTGCCAGCACCCGCAGCAGCAGGATGCTGGCACCTTCTGGCAGCACCCCCCGCAGATCTTCCTGGAGGTAGTAGAAGCTCCAGCTCTTTGGTTCTGCCTGCAGAGAGACCCAGCCACCACCTCGTGGGACAGCCCCAGCTCCAGCCTCCCCAGAGACTGCACCCCTGGAAGCTGGGGTGGAACCCTGGATGGGCCCCAGGATGTGCCCCATTTGGAGGTCAGAGGGAAGAGACTTCCCCTCAGCCTCACCTCTCCCTCCTGAACTGTCTTGGTAACAGTCATCCCATGGTGGTGGTTCACAATGTGGGTCCTCCTCTCTACTGGGTGTGCTTTGAGCTGTGGGAGGGGTGGGTGGCACAAGGTGGAGGGCAGAGCCAAGGCTTTCCCTCTCCAAGGTGGCACATCTCAGCACTCCTTTCAATCAGGGTATCATGCCATATGCATTGTGGGCAACTCCCCACTCCAGCTGCTACCCAGAGTAGGGGAAGGGGACCAGGCTGGTGGGACAGCTGGTGTCTGAGCCAGGAATGGAAACATCAGACTGCCCACAGTGACCTTGCATGGGGCACAGTCCCCAGGAGGGCATCACTACAGGGTGGCAGGACGCGGGGAATGGGACACACCACTGCCACACCAGTCACCTCCAGGCGCTCCTGCTCCTCCTGCTCCAGAGTCTCCAGCAGCGGGGTCACATAGGCTAGCAGAGCAAAGCTACACTCAGCCCACCCTGCTGGCACTGCAGCAGTGCCCCACAGCCTTGGGAGCCAGTGGGACTGGGGTACTACAGCCCTGGGGAGGGAGGACCCACCAAATCATCCCTGGCTCACCTTTGAAGGTGCTGGAGCAGGGCACGTTGTCCTGCCTGATCCGGAAACCGGCTTGCACCAGGAGGCAGCTCCGTGCCGGCTTGCCCTCTGGCTTGTAGGGTGCCCACCGGACTGCTGCCCACCACTGGCCCGTGATCTGGACCCCCGGCTGGTCCTCTGCTGCCACCACCTCTAGGGTCTCAGTGAACAGGCAGGACTCCAGTTCCTCCGGCCCTGCAGGGCGGGACTGTCACCGCTGCCCCGAGGGATGGTCGCCCTTGCCCAGGCCACCTTCCTGCCTTCGTTCCCCACCTGCCCCGGAGCAGGTTGGGCTGAGCCCTTCACCATTTATCCGGCTCAAGCCCCCACGACCCCTCCCTCCCCCTCCCGCAAG